ATTTTTTATCTAAAAGTTGCTTTATGAATCTAAAGTCAAAGTTTGTATATCTGGGCGAAATTTATGTTAGCTTTTTTTTGTGGGAAGAGTCCGAGTCAGAAGAAATTTACTCAAGACAACTTTCTTTTCAGCAGCATGGATAACTAGCTTAAACACATTTTAAATCATCTTTGTCTGTAAATAGTAAATTAACATGTAGTTCTTGAGACAAATATTTGATGATATAATTGTCGGGGGGTAGTGTATCGAGTCAGAAGTAAATAATGGCAACAGATAATATCAAAATTAAATTTACAGGTTGTTCGACGTATCCTAATATAACAGACGCAAATTTTGATAAAGATTGCAATGGAAATGTAGTCATTACATGTAATGAAGGTTTCAAGATGGTACAAGGGCTGGAATGTGTTGAGGAAGAATGGAGATATCAAAACCCAATATGTAAACGCACAGGTAAGATAATTTTAAATACTTGAATTACAAATAAACAATATTAGCTTTGACACATCAAATCGCTCAGTGAAGAGTTTATATCACCTTCCTCGATACATGTTATAATACATTATATAGTGGAATTCAAATCAATAAACTTCATGAAACAGTCTGGAGAGCTTAACATCTTTAGATTAAAGAATATTATTGTAGCGCGCTCATTTCTTCAATCAAAATAAATAATTGACAGACTACCCAATTTGATTGATTTCAATTCATGTCAATTCAATTCTTTATTCCTTTGAGTCAATGACTCATCAGGTACAAAATAGTTAAAGATGGGTTACCTTATATTTTAGTGTCAAATTAAGCAAACTATTAGATTAATTGGTGTTTCTAATGAATCATTATGTATTCTTAATCATATCATTATGTTCCTATTGCATATAATTAAAAGTTTCAACCAATCATAAGTATCCATGTACGATAGTCTGGAAAAACAAAAAAATACTTTTTGACCTTTCTCGATCGGCCACTCATTGGAATTCTGTTAGTAATTCTCTTTAGCTAATTATGAATTAATCATGGACATGTGAGACAAACTGGTATTTTTCCAAGTCATTAAAACACCTCTACTTTCTATTCATATAAGTATTAGTATTTTCATTTTCATAAATGAAAATAAGGGAACCCAACTTTAAGACCACCGTGTATGTTTTTGCCATCATTAAAATAGTTTTTGAGTTTATCGCCATTTGTATCATTGTTAGTGATTATTCCGGATTGTAAAAATGGTGGAACGTTGGTGGAAGAAAATGGAAAATTTAAATGTAACTGCCCACTAAACACATTCGGTGACGATTGCAGTAAGTACAAATTAAAAAAAGAAATTTACCAATCTCTCCTCGCTCGTCTAGTCGTTCAGAATGGACAATAAACTGAGGCCCCGTGTGCTTCAGGCTGTACACAGTTGGAAATCGAACAAGAGTAGGATAATGCCACTGTCCTGGTAAAAATGTCCCTCATTGTACACTGCATGGCGTTATCCGTCTCCATTAGCCCAATTATAAAAGTAGAACGTAAAATTCCATTCATTTCATTTTTCAGATTGTCGATTCAAGTTTACAAATGCAACATCTTTGTTTCCCGATCCCTACGCAGAAAGATTAGTGTCTGATTCAGCGGAATGTGATGAAAACTGTGCTAACGATATCAGATGTTCCACTTCTACCATGACTTATCTTAAAAAATGTAAACTTTACGAAACACCAGTCATCTTCGTGTCGTATGACGAAGACCTATGTATTGAAAAATGCAACGAGATGAGTGAATGTAAAACGATTGGCACTGAAATGCATAATGTGAGTTTTTCCTGTTATGTATATAACGCCACCTTGGACAAGATTCCAGATAAAATGAAACGATCTTACTATTTTACTTTTACCGTAGCAGAAAAAATCTGCGAATAATAAAAAAAACATGTTTATCATGATATAGACCTATCTCTTTTTTATTTTTGGCAATAACCTTGGGCATAAGGGGGTGAGAACCGACTCTAAGAAACAAAGGCACAGGCATCAAAATTATTCTTACTTTCGAACCCAATGCACCTAATCACCTAGCAGACTATAATCCAACTCGCTACCGACTGAGCTATTCTAGAAACTATGTATTAGGGGGGTTAGAGCTGACTCTAAGAAGCACAGGCACAGGCATCAGAATTGTTTTTACCTTGAGGAGGATTCAAACCCACGGCACCTAATCACTTAGCAGACGACAATGAAAGAGATATTCTAGCATGGGCAAGGATAGGTAATGATCGTTTTATATTGAGAGTAAACGAGGTTCACTATATACCCTTGAGGTTGACGTAGATAACAGAGGATAAAGGCATTAAAACGCAGCCGTATTGCATTGGATACGTCTACAAGAAGTCCAAGAAACCGAATTGTATCACTGCACGAGCATAGATCATAGAGAGTCTCACATGTCTTGTGTGTACTTCAAATAAGTGAAAGAAATGAGTTGCCGATGATACTAAACAAGAGTACCCCAAATGGACACAGGAAACGCGTCTGGCCACTCTTTCTCCAACTGGATACTCGATTGGTCTGTGCGCTTAGTCGAGGGCAGTGGACTGCACGCATGGTATTAGGCATCTGTGACACATAGTCCACTTCTCAATAGACACTCCATGTTACCAAATGGACTAGACTTGGTCCTGGAACGGCAGACGAAAAGGTGTCAGAGATTCAAAAAGCAAATAGTTTGCTTAAGTCGACACTAAAAAATATGGAAACTCATCTTTAACTATATAATTATATGTTTATTACATATATTATTCAGAACATACAACAATGTATTCAGCTAACTGTTCATACACTTCACTTAAAACATTTTATTTCTAAAATACAAAATTACAAAATTACACAGCCAGAGCAGCAACAGTAAGCGTCCTCTTCTTCCTTTTCACGTCCTCTTCTCTTCTTCTCCACCTGATCTCCCACTGTCCGAAACTTCACCTCTCCATCCTCGTCTCCCACCGTCCGAAACTTCACCTCTCCATCCTCCTAGTCTCCCCGGAACTCTGTCAACCCCCCAATCCTGACCCTCCTCAACTTAACTCTCTCTGGAACCTCCTCCCTCTCCTGTCCGAAACCAGCTCTAATCCACTCCTCTTGTCTCTCTATACAACATTCCGCTTCCCTCTCCTGCCTACTCTCTTTCTCTACCACGCCTTCCGCCAAAACCTCAATCTCCTCCATCCGTTTAAAAAATTCAACAATCTGGTGTCTCCTAAGCTTTTTCTCCCTTTCCCTCCTCATCCTTCTCCTAGCCTGCGACAGTTTCTTATTAAACCTTGCTGTAGTTGTGTCCTCCATCTCTCTAGCTAACTCTTTCCATGCAGTACCTTATATGCATTTTCCGAGTCTTTACATCCTGTATAAGGTTTTATATCGGGACCCCATAAAACGACCGATTTCAATTATTTGTATATACATGTATATGATACATAACCCTATAATTGTGGTGACTATGTAAATATCCCTGTATAAGGTTTTATATCGGGGCCCATTTCAAATATGCAACATAGTTACGTAATGTATGTAAATATAAATAATCAATCTGTATTCTGGAAAGCTTAGAATGTACCCTACCTACTGTGAATACTTCCTTCCATGAGACTTGATTCAGAATCATGTGATGTCTTTGAAAATAACACATTTTTACATTAATTTATATCCAGGTGAGTTTTTTATTATTCCACTAATACACTAAAATAAACTCCAGATAATATGAGAGTTTGGTTGTAACGATATAGTTTCATAATTCATGTAGGTTGCCTTTTAAAACCTAGAAAATGATCTTATTCTTCATAAAACAGTAGTACTACTAAAACAATGAGAAAAAGATATACCGTCAGAAATGATAAACAATTAGTGGTTTCATAATGAATTTTCAAATAATCTTTAAAATAGTCAAGACAAAACAGTTCATCAAATTATCACCAAATTTAAATACATCTCAACGACGTAGACACAAGGGCAATAACTCTGCAAACTAATCATTCTATTGTTACCAATTTCAAACTCGGCTGAAATCACATCTATAAATAAATGCATACCAAGTTTGATCAAGAACGAATAAAAACTAGTCTGTATCGTGCATACAAGCCAAATTTGGCGCGTGTTTACCAAGTCAAGGGCAATAACTCTAAGACCATTCATCCGATTAATACCAATTTTGAACTTAACCAAGATCTGATCAATATATACATGCATACCTAGTTTCATCGAGATCAGATAAAACCTGTATCTTCTAATGTTTTCTCTCTCTTATTTCCTACCTGACACTATGATTACAATTGCACTGTCCAGCTCTAGAATATTTAGACCAAATCCAGCGTCTTCCACATCCCCGCTCATTCCATTCGCCACGGTGCAGCAACTACCAGCTGGGCTGAGGTACACCACTGTCCAGCTCTAGATTATTTAGACTAAATCCAGGCCACGTATTCTCGAAACGATCTTAGTGCTAGGATGTCCTAGAATCAATGTTAGAAGATAAGAAAATAGGACATCCTAGCGGTAAGATCGTTTCGAGAATATGTGGGCTGAGGTACACCATTGTCCAGTTTTAGATTATTTAGACCAAATCCAGGGTCTTCATTCAACTCATTGAGAGTAAACGAGGTTCACTATATACCCTTGAGGTTGACGTAGATAACAGAGGGAAAAGGCATTAAATCGCAGCCGTATTGCATTGGATACGTCTGCATGAAGTCCAAGAAACCGAATTGTAACGCTGTATGAGCATAGATCATAGAGAGTCTCACATGTCTTGTGTGTACTTCAAATAAGTGAAAGAAATGAGTTGCCGATGATACTAAACAAGAGTACCCCAAAATGGACAAAGGAAACACGTCTGACCACTCTTTCTCCAACTGGATACTCGATTGGTCTGTGCGCTTAGTCGAGGGCAGTGGACTGCACGCATGGTATTAGTTTTTAGGCATCTGTGACACATAGTCCACTTCTCTATAGACACTCCATGTTACCAAATGAACTAGAGTTGGTCCTGGAACGGCAGACGAAAAGGTGTCAGAGAATCTGAAATTAAATAGTTTGCTTAAGTTGACACTAGAAAATAAGGAAACTCATCTTTAACTATATAATTATATGTTTATTACATATATTATTCAGAACATACAACAATGTATTCAGCCAACTGTTCAATAAAGGAACTTTCAAAGATATGTATTTATTTTATGATGAAAAATGGCACTAATAGAATGTCTTCATTCCAAGTAGAATATGTTATATAATAATGTAGAAAATCGGGGGAACGATATCAAAACTATCAGAATATCAGTTGGTAACTTTAATAAAAACCCCGTAATGATAATATGATACAATTAGATATATAATACAACAATATAATATCTTAATAACAAAATATCACAGAAGTATCATTATCACAGAAAAATATCTATACACATAACTTTATACACTACAATACTATTTCAATACATTTGAAATACTATATATGCTATAACAAGAACATTAGTATAGTATTAGGTCAGTGTAAAGTAATTATGTGCTTATCAAAACAGTAGTGGTGCATTAAGATAAGACAACAATTAAATAAAACAACCAAATTTCTATAAAAATGCACCCTGCCACACATGCATAATACTAAAACACGTACCTACAAGTGATATATGATAGGGGAAGGTATTGTGGGCTATAAGCAGGATGATTCCCTGATGGACAGATATAAAGAATTTGATTTGAAGCAATGTTGTGTAAATTGTTGAAGAAATTGTTAAAATAAACTTATGATTCCTATTGTTGTTATCATGACAAGATATGCAATAAATTAATCTCCCCTCCCCCCTCAAATGTCATTGGTTGCAAACTAAAGATTGACATGTCCACATCCAATCTCATTGGTACACATTTTCGCAAAATTATTGATTCTTATCGCCCAAACGCATTAGGTCGCCCAAATTTATATTTATGGCTCGCCCAAACTTATGTATTTGGCTCGACCAAACTTGTAGATATATTTATCATGTAATAAAAGTATTGTTATTTTAGTGTCTTGATGTTCGCGTTGGTTTGTCATGTGAGTATGTATAAGTATGCTTGTGTATGAGAGTCCGTGCAAAGCCTGATAGTTTATTATATAAGGTTGTATATGACAATATTGGTTACTCGACAATAAGTGCCATTTGAATGAAAAGATCCTTGGCTAATGATTAAGTGGATATCATTTTCATTCTTGCATGTCAAAATGAAAGCTATATTCATTGGTTCGTCTTTCACCACCCATCTTCATCGTCATTTGAAGTGTAGCAGACGGCATTTTTGACCTGTTTACAAACACAGCTTGTATTATTATGTAGGTTAGATGTGTTTACTAGGTTTTACTTCATTCACCAGAGCACTGATTACAATTATTACTAATTGATGTCACTTTATTAACAATGTGTCAGTGTACTTTCTGGCTTCTGGTTGGTCAATTTGAAGGTCCTTGGGGTCAATTTCTGTATCTCTTGGAAACATCCAAACTCTTCCTTGCTTATTCATAATCTAGTTTTCTAGATATCAACAACACTTTAGATTGATCTCTATATCAATCTGTTTCCTTGTTGGTGATTTTTGGAATACCTTTATATTTTTAGTACTTTGCTATTTTCAGCAATTTACAGGTATGTTGGTTTTGGGAGGGTATAATTTGCCTTAGTAGCCATTTATATTGATTCACGTCAGAGTCCGGCTTATTAAATCTATTCATTATTTTAGTTCTTATGTAGTAAGAAAAGGTTTTAATAATGTAATCATCATTTTCAGAATAATATAATTAGATGTTACAATAGAAGTAATTAATTATAATTAGTATCCTTTAAACCCCTCTTAGTGTAGGTTATTATTTTGGTTATTTAGTCTGTAATATAAGCCATAAAAACTGAAAATATAACAAGAAGGGTTTTATACAATAATACAAATAACGGGTTTGGTTTCTTACTGGGAAACTAAATTTCATACGTAGGTAACACTAAATTTCATAGGCTGGTAATACACTGGAGGTATATGGCTCATGACAGCTTTAAACAAGGGAACTACTTTGGGTCGACACCGTCTGAACAAACGTGTCAGCGAGAAAATTGAACTACACACAAAAAAGTTGCTCATAAAATGATTGATTTGGATAATAAACGTAGCGCGTAAAATGTAAAGAATAATTTTGGTAACTAAATTCTAAGTTTCCGACTGAACAGATGCTAACTTGACACTTGTCAATCAATATTCTGCTTTCGCCAGTCTTTTCGTCGACAGAATTCTAAAGGCCGCTTCACATGAGCTATTTTCCCTCTCAATCTTGATCAGTCGTGTGAACATGAATTTTTACGAAGAAAACTATTTCGGTATTTCTATCACAATGTTGTTTTGTCAACTTTAGAAAATTCAAATGAAGTTGAAAACAAAGAAAACTAGAAGGGATATGTATGGAAGATTATCAAGTCGTTGCTCGTGAATGTGCTCATCCTTGTTGACTGCTTAAGAAGTTGGCACATCCCCTGTGGACAGCACTTTTCCATTTAGAAAATCTGAGAATTTCACCTACCTCTTCTGTCCTCCTGAAATTCCATTAAAGACTAAGTCTAAGCACATTCTTTTGAACATTATCATTTTTCTCTAAATAACATCCCACCCCCCTTCACGCACCCTTATTTCTTTCACCTCCAATTGGAAATGCCTTTATTTTATTTTTAGTACATTTGCTTGGAATCAAAGTTTAAAAGTTAAATGTTCATGAAGCATGTATGAAAAGGTTTAGTTTACGTAACCAAAAGCGAGTAAACAATTCATATCAAGTGTCAAGAAGAGTAAGCATACTCTGCCGGGCGCCACACTCGTCATTGCTGCTCAACATATACATACTCAATAGGCATAGCCTCGACCGAAACATCTAGTCTATAAACAAGCGTATCTTATACAATATTTATTATATCGGCTGTCAACAATAGATAAAGCTGTGTATTATTGTTGCTGTCAGGAGACCACCACAGAGTACCTACAGATGTCAGAGCATTAAGACTCGACAGGACAGCGTGTCACATGCATATCATGCATGTATCATCCAGAAATATTGAACCTTCATGTTTTGATATATTTTCAAAAGTGGTCG